GTGCCTTACACACTTGAGCCCCCAGAAATTTCACTGAGGTGGAAACCCCACAGCTTCTGTTGGATTATTTCTTCCCTTTCTGATTTGCAAATGTTTTACCTGAAAGTCTGGAATAACTGTTACTTCTCACTTGCTAATCCAATCAGACACAACACAGACTTCATTCCATAGGCCAGAAAACCATGTGATAGGTCAGGTGGTTGGTGAGTATACCTTTACTAATGATATATTCCACAGAAATACCCACAGAGTATGGGGAATCACTGGTCCACTTGAGGTGAACCTGAGCTAAAAGAGTATCTGATCTCCATAAGCACTTACTACAAATGGTAGGCCACAGTGACATTTTGAGTCCCTAGAATTAGTGTAAATTCAGTGCTAGGGCTTAGTAATCCCTGAAAAGTCTGTTAATTTCTACAGGCTGGAGAAGGCTGGGAAAAAACGAACAGTAGGAATTTCTGGCAGTGTGGGGGTAAGAGGGGTTACTTCTTCATTCAAGGAGTTTTAGCTACGACTAGAAAATGACTGAGGGATCACAACTTCCTTTGTGTAATGCAAGTTAGACTTCTGTTTACTTGACTTAGAACCCTTCTGCTTGTACAGCTCAAATCAGAATCCAGGAGGTGCCCATCTATTCTCTCCTAGGCATGACTGACTAGGCAGTATCACAGGTTTCTGTGAGTCAGACTACCGGATTACTGCTTTGACTCCTACTCTTTGGTAATCAAGTGCTCCCACCTAGGAGCTTGTCACCCAAGACTGCCCAATTGCAGGTATACATCCACAGTTCAAGGGTAGCAATTCTCAGTATAATTTCTGACCAACAGAGAGGGGAAACAACAGAGCTTCTCATGGATGCTCACGAACATTTCTCAGTCACACCTTACATGATAAATCCACTAACTGTCCATTCTCCCTAAGCCTTTACATCCCTTCCTCTATAGTGCACCAAGGCTGGTCTGGTAGCTGGACTTCATGCTTCCATAAAGTCACATTATGCTTGAAGCTTCAGCCAACAACCAACCAATTAGGGGCCCTTCTAACTGCCTCCCCACATCCCCATATTATAACACTGAATCCAGAAGTTCTGGGCCAAATTCAGTAAACAGCCTGATCCAACTTCACGTTCCTTCCATCATTATCCCATGCCCTTATATCTATGTCCACATACATGCTCAAGATTTCTCTGTGCGTAAATTGAAAAAAAGGGGCTGGGGATTTAGCTCAGCAGCACAGTGCCTGCCTGGCAAGCACAAGGTCATGAGTTCGATTCCCAGTACCGGAAAAACAAAACAAAACAAAACAAAAATAAAATAAATTGAAAAAAATCATGCAGTGTTTTAGGAATGTAGCATACCTCCTCATGGATCATACTTTGTAGCTTATTCTTCAGGATCTGTGGGACTTGACTCCATTTATAAGACTAGAAACAAGGAGGGGTGTTGTGGGTAGGTTCTGGGAGAACCAGCAGTGTCCTGCAAGGAAACTACCTAAAGGTGGGCCATTCCAGCTTCCTCATAAAAGCAGGGTTAACTTTGTCCCACAGAAGGTGAAGGGCTGCTACTACTTGCAAAAAAGACTGAGCAGAATTTAGGGCTTAACATCCCCAACTTCATCAGGATCTTCCTAAATGTCCCCATTTCAAATTTGGGGACCCCATTTTCCCCAATCAATATCATTCTAACAGCTGATACCCTGTAAAGATGGAAATGCAACTTGCATTATATTAATTCAGCTACTTATAGGGGGAGATTCTGGTTTTTTTGTTTTGTTTTGTTTTGTTTTTTAGCAACCTCAGTTCTGAAGCTACAGGAGAGAAGTTTTTAGGATAGACATAGAAATTTTCAGACCATTTATGTGGCTCTTGAAGTGAGAATTTGAAGTCCTGAGCTCATCCTTTTCTTTCCTTCTTTACCAGGCACAGTGAGGAGCAACAAGCCAATCTCACTCTCCCCACTAGTTTTGATAAAAACCTCTAAATTATCAAATACATCATCACGTAGGCCTTTGCCTTCTACAAGCATTTCAGTTGGAGTATTCAGTGGAGTATTTTGCGTATCTCTACTGCCATATCACATCATGAACTATCAATGTCCTCTTTATTACTAGAAATAGTCATAGAGACTTTAAATGTACTTGGATTAGAGAATTAATTTCAGATACCATGGGACCAATCAGAAAATTCATTCTTATGATTCTCTAGAACCACTCTCAGTGCAAAAGTGGTATCAGTCAGGCTGGTCCAGGAATACCAAACCAGATATACAGACAGAGTGATGTAAATATACAGATAGGAAGATGTAGATATAAATACAAATACCTACAACTAAATCTAGATAGATATACAGGTTGTTTTTGAGGGTAAATTTCTTAAAGTCAACTGAGTATTGTAAGGCATAGCGGCACATGCTTGTAATCCCAGCACTTGGGAGGCTAAGGCAGGATTTCCATGAGTTCAAGGCCAGCCTTGAACATATTAAGTTCAAAGACAGTTCGAACTACATAGTGAGACCCTGTCTCAATAAACCAAAGAAAAAGTCAACTGAGTGTAGATGTTAGGCACATCTTCAAAATACCATCACAGCAACACCTCAATTAATATTTAGTTAATTAATTTTTGGTTTAATTCATATTTGGTTAAATTATTATGTACTATAGCATGGCCAACTTGACATATAAAATTAATTATGACACACTGCAAACTTACAAATTTCTCAATTAAATATTACTTTCAACTGTAGGAAGTACTTTTTAAAGAATTTTTTTTTCAAGGCTGGGGAATCAAACCTAGGGGCTTGGACATGCTACCACTGTCCTACTGAGCTATATTATTCCCAGTTCAGAAAAAAATTTAACAAGAATATTTCATCTAAAGAGACAACTTTAGTATGGAAAATATCAGAAACAGTAGGAAAAATCCTTCCTCCAAGCCTCTCTGAGGAACAAACATGACACAGACAGCTCTTTCCTGCCTCCATAGAGCTTCATCACTCTTAGGAAGTTCCAACATTGAATCTACATTTTAAAACAATTTTTATGTTTCAAAAATATGATCTTCAATTCTACCACTGAAGTTACACTTTAAAATTGCACCTCTGAGAGAAATGCTGTTTCTTATCAACATCTTGAAATAAATCTCATCTGTCAGTTTTCAAAATCCTTGATTTTTAAACCTTTTCTAGAGAGTCATTCATGCAATAAGTGCCTACTACATGCCAGGGAGTGTTCAAAGCACCTAAGTTATATCACTAAACAAAATGATGACCCTGCCTTGGCAGACCTCATGTTCTGGTAAGATAACATCCTTATCCTTATCTATATTTTTCCCTCTGAATATGAGTATGAAGAAATAACAAACTAGGCATGGTGTGCACACCTGTAATGTTAGGACAAGGGAGCCTGAGCAAGAGAACTGAGGATTAAAGCCTGCCTGAGATACATACTGTAGTACATAACAAGTTCCAGGCCAGCCTGGATTACATATCAAGATTCTCTCAAAAAAACGAGAACAAAACAAAACAAAGAAAGTGTAGTACCACAATATATCTTTGAGTATCTATGTCACAGGCAACTTCTAGCTCTGAAAACAGTCTTCTAATGGGAATTGTTTCATTATTAGCAGATTCTGGTCTCTGCAGCTTGAGTCCAAATCCCTGTCCTACCACTCAGCAATGCATGTCCTTGGCCAAGATACCTATTCTTCATCTGTAAAACAAACAAACCCTACTGGATTACGTGATAACTAAATGAATACAAACGTGCAAAGCACCTAGCTTGGCACATTCAAGGTACTACAGTGTTAGTTATTGTTATTATTTTATTTTTATTTATTTATTTAGGTACCAGGAATCAAACTCAGGACCTTGTGCTTGCCAGGCAAGCACTGAGCTATCTCCCCGGCCCACTGTTATTATTTTAATTCAATTTCTAGAAAATCAGAGATTTTTACATGACTCCTAGTTAAATTCTACAAAAGCTACAAAATGTGACTTCTATACATCCCATGTACAACATTAACTCATCATGAAGTTTGTATAAACACACAGTTAAAGAGGTTTCTAATCTGAGAAAAAGTTTTAAGGTCAAAATTAGATACATTTCCTCTAAAATTGCAACAGCAATTATTTCAAGAACCTTCAGCAACAGAACAAGCAAATATGGACAACGCCACCGGCCTAGTTCTAGTGCCTGACCATGTAATTGTTACCTCCAGTCTAGGACCTACACACGCCTTTGCAGTTGTCAATCATGAACTGAATTCTTAGCTTAGCTAGTCACATATCATAAAAAATACAAATAGTTATCGGAAATTGATGGTTCATCCTTATTTGTTAAGGGTAGTCTCTTTACGTGTTCAAAGTCATTATAAGGGGTCAATAACCTCAGAGGAGTTCACAATTTAGAAGTGACCAGACTGTGAGATACATGCTGCAAATGTCACCTTCCTCAAATAACTACGCCTACAAACAAAAATGCAACGCGGTAAAATACATTTTTAAAGGATCAGTTTTGGTAAAGAATTAATTTCAAAATGGACTGTAAACCTGTCACGGTTTTACACCGAAGGTGGCGAGGTGCTGAGGCCCAACAATGCTATCGCATACGCATCGTAAACACTCTCAATCCACAGGTCCAGCTCGACCGAGAGGGCGCGGGGCAGCCCAGCACCGTGCAGCTTTAGTTTCGGTACAGCAACGCCTCTGACTCCCCGGCGGAAATCGGGGGTGATGGACAAAGAGAGCGTGGCCTCCTCCTTCCAGCCACTGCGTGCCGAAGTTCAGCCACACAGACCACGCGGGGTGTTTGCCGCGAACAGGTGCAGGCTGCCCTTCCCTCCGAACCGGACAGAGAGCACAGCCTCCCGGGAGGCAGGCGTGGCACGACCTCCCAGCACAGCGCACCCCCTCGGCTGGCTCCCGAGGGCGAGGTTCGGGGCCGACAGCTGTCCCGGCCGGGGCCCAGTCCGCCCGCCTAATGACCTCCGCTCTGACAGCGCCCACCTCCGCTGAAGGTGCCCTCGGGCCTTCGGCCCCCACGCAGGTCGCGGTCCCGCTACCCCTCCAAAGTCCGGCTGCCACGCACCGCGAAGGGCACCCTTCCCACAGGGCTACCCGCCACCCACCCGCGGCCCAGCCACGCTCTCTCACCGCAGCTGCCCGCCAGCCGCGCCCACCAGCAACGTGCTCCCGCGCCCTGCTGCCCGCGCGAGGCACCACGGGACTCGTAGTCCCGGCGCGCGGGATGTGACGTCCACGCCGGTGTAGCGGCACGTGAGCGCGTCCCGGAAGTGACGCCACGAGACGCGAGGGTCGCGGGCCGGCGTTTCCCAAACAGTCGTGGCGGCCTGGTCGGTGAGTTGCGCGGTTGAACTCTGGAGCGTCGCGTCGCGTCGCGCGCCCACCGAGTGGGTTGGGCGCTGCTCCAGGGTGGCTGGGTGTGGGTCAGAGGAAGGTGTGAGCAGTGCCTCGAAGCCCGAGCCGGGCCCAGGAGTCGGCCCGCGCGCGAGACGTGGGCTTGAGGGTGGCCGGGCGAGGCAGCCTGGGACGCGGCGACCGGCCGGCTTCCGAGGCGGGCCTGGAAAGCCGCTCCCGGCGTCCGTGCGGTCGGGGGCCGTGGGTCCGTCTGGACGGCAGCCGGCGCGGTGTTCAGCTCTCTCCTGCAGGGTTTTCGGGAGACTGTTCTTCCGTTCGACTATTTGTTTTCTTTTTTGCGGTGCTGGATGTCCAAGGCTGGTCCTTGCTCATGGCAGGCAAGCGCTCTCTCAGTGAGCTGTTCCAGTTCAGTTTTAACGTTCTTGTCCATCGCTGCAGTCGTCTGCACTACTGTGTGATTCGTTCTGTGATTCGTTCTGACTACTGTGTGATTCGTTCTTGTGTTTTTGTAATATTACCTATGCTGGAATAGTAGCCTCTATAAGTAAAACTCACTTAAATCCCAAAGATAATTACAGCTGAAGATAATATGTTACATTGTTTTATTTGAATGTAAAATAAATGTTTTTCCTTTTAGGAACTAAATGACAGAGAAAGAGAAATAGGTATTTGATAATTCAGTGGCCAGTTTTCCTAATAGTTAAAAGAGATTATTCTGCAAATTACTTTCCTAGTTTTTTTTTTTTTTTCCCTGATTCATTTCTTCCTGTTTGGCACCTCTTGTTATTTTGTTACCTCCAACGATGGTTAGTGAAGGCTAACATCTCTTTAAATGTCCTTGGTTTTGGTGGATTATTTTTAGCTCTTAGGCAACTTGGCTTCATGCAAAAAAGCCTTAAAAAAACTTCATAGCCTCTGAACTTCATAGTTTCGAATTTCATCTGAATTTACTGAAGTTCACAGATTTTTTGTGGATGTTTTGCTTTTCCTTCTCCACTTGAATAATACAGCCTAACATTAGACAATTCACATTGAGCTCTTCTGTAGTAAGAGGTCGGACACTTTACTGAATGAATTAGTAGGTAGGCCCTAATAATAATTCCTCTCCAATAGGTAGTTCAGTTATTTCTCTCTCCCTTTCACTTTTTATATATAGACCCAAGAACATATTAGAGAAAGGATTAGTGGTCATTGAAAGGCTGAGTCTTGGAACTTGTCTAAAGCCATTTCCACTGCCCTCACTTTCAACCTAATCAGAATATCCATTATGAAGTAAAGATTTCAGAAGTCCTTGCTGTAGATTTTCTTTTTCCCTTCTTGATTCACTTAGTCCTTACAAATAATTTTGTATCTGTATAAAAAATTAGTGCACATAAATTGGATAAAAGAGTAATGTTTTTGTTTAATTCTTGAGTAAGCACCATTGCTTACTAATGGAATATGTGCACCTATTTGGGATTAGGGATGCTCAACCTGTATTTGCATATTTCCACTTCATTTATCAGTTTTAATCCCTCTTAGAGCCTTTTGTGAATAAGATTATAGAAGTGGTGGGAGTTATAATTAGCACTACTAAATATTCAGAAATTTACAGTAACGTATTCTTTACAGTGAAAGTTTTTAAAACTCGTACTTAATTTCTAGTTAAATTTGCTTTAAAGTCTTTGGATTAGTGTTTATAAGTAATATAAAAATTTTTGTTGTTCCAGTATTGGTTTATGAAATTTTACCATCAATTCAAGTAATCAAAAATGGAAAACTCTACAAAATCAGAGGAGTGTGAAAAGCTGTCTTTTGAAGAGGTGAAAGCATCAGTAGATTGTGAAACAAAGTCTTCACACAGTATTGAAACCTCAACAGCTTCTGGGACTGGACTTTCTGAAAAGACTCCTGTCTGTGAACAAGTGGACATATCAAGAAAGAGGAAAAGGTTTGAGGATGGTCTTATAGAGGAAAGTTCCAGTTGTGGAGAAGATAGTCCATCGAAGAAAAGAAATCTTGGTGTTGAAATTGTCCCAGAGGAAAAAGGTTCAGGTGATGCTGACAGCTTTTCAAATAAAAGAAAAATGGAAACTGATGGTGTTCCTTCTGCTGGAGATAGCGCTCAGAGAAAGAGAAAACTGGAACTGGATGATGCTCCAGAAAAACGGAAAGTATGTTGAATGTATTTTATTTGCAATAGACTGTATCAGCTAGAAATGTGGAAGAGCTGTGGAATTACTAGGTTTTCACATAATCTCAATTGGGTAGAATGTTCTGTTTTTAACAGATATGGCCTTAAGACACAATAGGCTTTTAACTCCTAGAATTTAATTCTTATTGAGGTAAAACTGGTGCTAATGAGATAATTATTATTTTATTTCATGACTCTTCTTTGACGAGAAACTTGAAAACCAGTTTTTATATTTTATTTTTTGTATTTAAAAAATACAGAGGAGTATGCGGTGCAAATGTTTACGCTTTGCCTTTTTAAATTAAATGTTCATCTCCTTGTTTTTTTCTGAAGTAGTTATGATGATCACTTGAGCTGATAAATTTCAAAATCATACCCAGCTTTGTATTCCTTTGTTAATTGAGTTAAACTCTGATTGTTTCCACCTTACTAGTGTAGTTTACACAGTTTTAGAATAGTGGGTGCCACAGCCTGATATTTAGCAGGGGAATTATGAAACAAGGTTAGCAAATCATTTACCATAGTGGAAATGATTCTGAATGCAAAATCTGGAGTTGGTGTGAAAGACTATTTTAAAGAATGAGTAAAATTTTGCCATCAGCTCTGAAGGGGAAAGTGGCACGTAGACCAGGCTTTTGTCATTGTTGTCCTCATAGCCAAGGGGAACTTGTATTTTAAATTCAGTTTTAAAAATTGCTGGCAGGTTTTTTTCAGGTAAAGTCTTACTCTTAAACTTGAACTGTGAAATAGATAAAAGATAATGACATTTCAGTTGAAGAGAGAAGTGAGGGGGTTCTGGGGCCCTTTACCTACCTTGGACTTTTTATACAATACCTAGAGTTGTACAGAATGAAGATAGAAAATTGTTGGATTAAATTAATAGCATATAATAGTCACTGACATGGAGAACAGACTACTAAATTCTAATCCCTTTACATACATATTACCTTTTTTGGGGGCAGTACTGGGAATTGAACCCAGTAAGTACTGAACTACATCTTCAGCTCTGTTCATTCATTCATTTTTATTAGAGGGTTTCTCTAAGTTGACCTCAAATTTTTGACCCTTTGCTTCTGCTTTGGCCTCCCGAGTAGCCAGGATTACAAGTGTGCATCACCATGCCTGGTTTGTTTTGTTTAATCTTCATAGCAGTTTTGTAATAATAACTTAAATGTAACGTGATTGTCATTTATTAAATTAAGTAAATCAACTTTGGGAAAGTGGTAGTTTTATTAAGACAGCGAGACTAAAGTTATACAGATGAAAGATTAAGATGGAAATTTTAAATCTGTGCTGTTTTTCATGGGGACTGTTAGAAAACAGATCTTTGGTTTGGTAATAACTTGTAGGATCTCTGTGGGAAATGCTCAGTTTACTTCAGTAGTGTATTATGCTTTTGTAGGTTACATTCTCTGGGGCTTTATTTTTTTCTTTTATTGTGTTCTTATCCTTAATTTTGTTCTGTTTTATTTTCAGAAACTGGAAGAAGGACACAGCTCTGCAGTGGCTGCCCACTATAACGAGCTTCAGGAAGTTGGTTTGGATAAGCGTAGTCAAAGTCGTATTTTTTATCTAAGAAACTTCAATAATTGGATTAAAAGTGTGCTTATTGGTATGATTAGTTTTTACCTTTTAGTTTGGAATTTTAAAATTTATTTATTTAGCTACTTGTGTGTGTAGAGCTGGGGCTTATACCCAGGGCCTTGCCAATGGTAGACAAGCTGTGTGCCGTCGATCTGTATCCCTAGCCCCTAGCTTTCACTTATGCATTTATTTTTCCTCCTCAATATTAACCATGTGTCAAGCTGTTGTATCTATTAATTCGTACTCATTCAGTGATTCAGCCTTGACTTCATAAAATGAGCCAGAATTAGGCCTTTTACTACCTACTTTGGTTGACTACATAGGATGGTAGTGAGTGTGTAATTGATAATAGTGGGGCTTTCAAAGTTGGTGTGCTTTTTTAGAGTTAGAATTAAGGTTATCTAGTGCTGTTAACTAATTTTACTCTGCTAGTTTTGGCACAGTGGCATTTTGTTGAATTCAGCATTCAGGTTTGATGTAGTCAAAATGGGCAGTGTCGTGATTTTTATCTCTGGGCTTTTAGTGATTTAGCTTGTTCTCATGTGGTTTCTTGAGCTTGTTCTCATGTGGTTTCTTGGGAGAAATAGCATTTACTTTGCAGATTGATGAAGACTCAGCTTTTTGGAGTGAACATCTATAGAAACTCACCTTTGAAGTTGATGTGAGTGGAGAAAATATGACTTAGAATATAATTATTGCTTTGTACATCTAGTACATTAATTAAATGTACTTAATTATATATGCTAGAAAGAATAAAGTGCCAATTTTGAGTATCGTACTAGTATTGATGACAGTGTAGTGGTTTTCAAAAAAAATGATGTATTCTGGGAAGTATTAGGAATAAGAACTAAATTGAAGCACATTTTGTATTTTCTTTCTCATTTTTGTTTTTGACATTTGTGTTAAAATATGATTTGTCAGACTCTGCCAGTTGTAACCTAGGGTAAATGAGTGGCTGCTTTTTTTTTTTTTCTTACGGTTAATATGAGTATCATGGAATTTGGAACCTCTTAATTTCTTTTTTTTGTACCAGGAATTGAACTCATGACCTCGTGCTTGCCAGGCAGTCCTGTGTGACTGAGCTGTATCCCTGGCCCCTGAACCTCTATTCTTTCTTTTATTTATTTATTTATTTATTTATAGGTACCAGGAATCAAACTCAGGACCTTGCACTTAACAGGCAGGTGCTGTGCCACTGAGCTATAGCCCTGGCCCTGAACCTCTTTTCTTAAGGTTCTCGGTGCATCTAGAGCTAATTTCTTTTTTGCTTTTCTCTGCTTTCCTTATTGTTCTCAGTTGAAGCAGATAATTTATCATTAGATTTTTCATGATGTATCATTTATTTCTGTGTTTTTAAATTGAGGGTTTTTGAGTCCATTTTACATGTTATTTTTGTAATTAGGAAAATAAGTAGTTGCAAGATGACATTTGGCAGAATTTTCTTCATCATGTGATATTGTCTTGCCCTTCAACTGTTCTATAACTCAGCGAGTACTTTGCTGCCTGAGCCTCTTTCTGGTCCTGATGCCATCAGTGTGTCCGTGCCATCCTCCCTCTCTCTTCCTTTCTGTCCTCAGCACATGCCTAGTCCTTCATTTTCTTTCATCTTGGTGCTTAAAGCTTAGTAGTAACTGAGAATATCTTGTGAATGTGATGACGTTTTATTTGAAAATAATGGTTTGTGGTGATTTTTCCCTTGTTTAGTTGTATCTTGTAGAAATATTTTATAAGTATTTTTCACTGTTTTTATGCTAAGATTTTTGACAGAAAGTTAAATACGGAACTTCTGCTGCAGTTACTTTCAGATCTTAACTGACACTAAAGACAGAATTTGTGTAAAGTATTTTAACTATCAAAATTTATGTGCATGAACTACTAATTGTATCCAGATCTAGGATTCTGATCTGTATCAGAATCTATCTAGTATCCAGATCTGTATTCCAGATCTAGGATTCATTATAAAGTTTTAGAATTGCAGAGTTATCTTTTGTCTTAGAATATTAAGTCTTAACTGATATTTGAACTATTCAGCTGTTGCTCTCTGGGGACATGTGGTTTTATCTGTTGAGTATTAATGTGATTTGATAGATTAGGATGTTTAAGAATTCTGATGATGGTGAAAGTAAAAGATAGTTGTGGATATAATGTATATTTGTGTGTGTGTGTGGGGGGGAGTAAGCCTAACTAATCAAACACTGTTATCATTCCAAAACTACTTCAGTTTACTTAGATGTATAAGAAATTAAGTCTCTAGCTGTGAAAAGAGAGCATTACAAAAACAGTGAATTGTTTTTGGCTTTTCTCTTACAGAAATGTGAGGTCTC